CCCAGTCACCGTCTCCGGGGAGGCCTCCCCTTCTCCAGCTTGGAATGTTGGCACCAATTTGAGGCTAGCCGGCTAATGACGACCTTGTTTTGCTTCGTCTAATATCGGATGTCAACTCTTCCTTCCTCAATGAGTCTGGGAGGGTTTCTTCCCTCTCTATAATAAAGGGAAGAGTGCAGACTCAGCACAAACGTCTGGTGGGAAGGGCAGCTGACATGCAGCTGTTCTGTGATGGCTTAGGATTCCGGGGTGTTGTCATTAAATACGATGCCTTAACTCAGGTGTTATTGAAAGATCTGAGGAGAAACTATCCCAGAAAGGGTGGTTTCTTAAGTATGATGTCTTAACTCAGGTGTTATTGAAAGATCTGAGGAGAAACTATCCCAGAAAGGATGGTTTCTTAAGTATGATGCGTTAACTCAGGTGTTATTGAAAGACAGAAAAGGTGATTTCTTAAATATGATGCCTTAACTCAGGTGTTATTGAAAGATCAGAGGAGAAACAATCCCAGAAAAGGTGGTTTCTTAAGTATGATGCCTTAACTCAGGTGTTGTTGAAAGATCTGAGGAGAAACTATCCCAGAAAGGGTGGTTTCTTAAGTATGATGCCTTAACTCGGGTGTTGTTGAAAGATCAGAGGAGAAACAATCCCAGAAAAGGTGGTTTCTTAAGTATGATGCCTTAACTCAGGTGTTATTGAAAGATCGGAGGAGAAACGATCCCAGAAAAGGTGGTTTCTTAAGTATGATGCCTTAGCTCAGGTGTTGTTGAAAGACAGAAAAGGTGATTTCTTAAACATGATGCCTTAACTCAGGTGTTATTGAAAGATCTGAGGAGAAACTATCCCAGAAAGGGTGGTTTCTTAAGTATGATGCCTTAACTCAGGTGTTATTGAAAGATCTGAGGAGAAGCGATCCCAGAAAGGGTGGTTTCTTATGTATGATGCCTTAACTCAGGTGTTATTGAAAGACAGAAAAGGTGATTTCTTAAATGTAATGCCTTAACTCAGGTGTTATTGAAAGATCTCAGGAGAAACGATCCCAGAAAGGGTGGTTTCTTAAGTATGATGCCTTAACTCAGGTGTTATTGAAAGATCTGAGGAGAAGCGATCCCAGAAAGGGTGGTTTCTTAAGTATGATGCCTTAACTCAAGTGTTATTGAAAGATCTGAGGAGAAGCGATCCCAGAAAGGGTGATTTCTTAAATATGATGCCTTAACTCAGGTGTTATTGAAAGATCTGAGGAGAAATGATCCCAGAAAGGGTGGTTTCTTAAGTATGATGCCTTAACTCAGGTGTTATTGAAAGATCTGAGTAGAAATGATCCCAGAAAGGGTGGTTTCTTAAGTATGATGCCTTAACTCAGTTGTTACTGAAAGATCTGAGGAGAAATGATCCCAGAAAGGGTGGTTTCTTAAGCCTAGTGACTTTATTGAAGGATGTAAAGAGAAAGGATCCCAAAAATGTGTTTAACCCTTCTGATGGCAGGACTGCTGACCTGCAGGAACGTGGGGGAAGCCTCCCACAGGATGGTAACACATCCAGACAACGTCCCCTGGTCAGACGGCCTATTCTCTCTCATCAGAAGCAACTTGAAGTTTCTGAAGTTGCTTCAGGTTGAGAAAATTGGCTGTCTGCAAGGACGTTGCCTAGATGTGTTACCATCCTGTAGGGAACTTCTCTCATGATTCGTGATTGGGGGGGGGGGGGGGGGGGAGGTGGAGTCCAGGATACAGAGCCACATTCAACCTAGTGTTCTCTGCTGCCTTCCATATTGAGAGAGAGATGCTGAATCTGCTGAGTTGTAAGGTGCTGGAGATTTGTGAGTTAAGCTCAGTCCTTGAGCCTTACTTCGCAGGCGTCCTGACAGCTGCCTGTTCATTTCCAGGGTTCCTACGTCCTTCAAACTGAAGGAGTGTGTGTATGTGTAAGCTATGTGTGCAAAACTATTCTCCACATTGTTTACTTTGGGGTCTTATGAACTGGACTCCTGCCCGCTTCCCTATTTTTAATCAAGATCTTTGACTGTGTTTTTAATTCCTGGCCTACTACTAAATATTCCCAGCGCAGCCGAGCTCTCGCTTATCGTGCACGAATCTGATTAGCATACTCCCCTTTCCTTCCACCAACTTGGAAACCGAAGCTTTCGGGGGGCTTTGCACAGGCCAAGGCATGCGCCGGGCCCTGTCTTTTCACAGGGTGTGCTGCAGACTACAGCGTCCATCATGCTTGGGCTTTGTGAGCAAGGGATATGAGACCTGATCTCTCATTCCCACAAAGTGATCACCACTGCGGAAGGAAGGAAGGAAGGAAGGAAGGAAGGAAGGAAGGAAGGAAGGAAGGAAGGAAGGAAGGAAGGAAGGAAGGAAGGAGAAAGAAAGCATCAAAACTTTTGAGACAAACTGATTGGTTACAGCGCAAACTTGGGTGGATAGAATCCTAGAATCAAGGATCGGGCTGGTTGGGAGTCAGCTGCATTAAAATCACTATTGACTGAAAGGTCATGAGTATGAGTTCGAAGGAAATTTAGGTACCGCTTTATGCGGGAGGGCTAACTAATTTACAATGCCATAAAAATCTCCAGCAGAGTGCAAAAGAATGAGGAAGTACTCCATCAGTGTCGCAAGTGGACAGTGAACCAACAGCTCCCCCCGGTGGCCGGAATTCGAAGCATGCCCTCATGAAGCTGGAAAGTTAAATAGCCTCTGTGTGTCTGTCTATAGGTGTTGTGTGTCTATGGCATTGAATGTTTGCTGTGTAGATTGGCATTGTGATCCACCCAGAGTCCCTTGCAGGGTGAGAAGGGCGGAATATTAATACTGTAAATAAATAAATAAATCCTAGAGTTGGTGGGCCATCCAGTCCAATTCCATTCTGCCAAGAAGCAGGGAAATCACATTCAATCAACCCCAAAAGATGGCCATCCAGCCTCTGTTTCAAAGCCTCCCAGTAAGGAGCCTCCACCACTTTTAATCCACCTCTTCAGAGGCACTGATGGAGGACAACATTCGGATCAACAATAGACCCTCCACTATTGCAGGGCTTTGGAGGTTGAATTTCAAACTCCTTCAAAGCAACGCAATGGCCAACACTTTGGCAGAAGTTGGCCCTAGAGATTCCTAGGTGGAATCTCAACCTCACAACGTCTGAGGATGCTGCCATAGATGCAGGTGAAACATCAGGAGAGAATGCTTCTGGAACATGGCCAGACAGCCCAGAAAATGCACAACAACCCAGTGATTCCGGCTATGAAAGCCTTTGACAATACAATTCAGCCTATTTTGTGGTAGCCGCAAAAGCCAAGTTTCTGGAGCGGAACAACTCCTTTCAAAGTAAGGACCACACAATTAAACAAGAAATAACACTTTCAAACCAGGAACAGAACATTTTTCAAGTGTTACATAGTGTTATCAACAGAGATCGTGGTTTTTGGGCACACTGTGGCCTCATTCCACAATCAACACAAATATTATAGGATTCAATGTATTGTCAACAGTTTCAATACATTGCAATGTTTTGTTGCTCAATTCGTAAATAAATTAATTCAATGCAGGAAATCAAACCCAGCATTTTAAATATGAACAATGCCTAGGCCCCGAACCTGGTTGAATAAAGTTGTCTTCAAAGGCTAATGGCGCTTTGCCTCTCTTAAGAGGCAGGTGAATCGCTTCCGTGTTTCATCCCCAACTTTAAAAGAACTATCCAAGGTGTGTAACCTGTTCAGGGGGTAGATCTTGACTGGATCCTTTAATGCAGATACTGGAAAGCAGGGCCGGTTCATGTTGCATCCAAGCGTTGGTTACATATATCCCTAGAGTTTAGTAGCTAATCCTTTCTGTCTATACTACTCTCTTGTGGCTGCATCTGAGCATTGCATACATTCATCCCTAGAGGCTAATAGCTGAATGCCAATTTGTAAGCCTCTCTGAGTCCCCTTCGGGGTGAGAAGGACAAAGTATAAATATAGCAAATAAATACATAAATAATCCTTTCTATCTCTAGACTGCCCTCTTGTGGCTGCATCTGGGCACTGCATACATTGATCCCTAGAGGCTAATAGCTGATCATTTCTATTTATACATTGCCCTCTTGTGGCTGCATCAGAGCATTGAATACATATATTTCTAGAGGCCAGGAGCTAATCCTTTCTATTTGTAGACTGCCTTCTTGTGGCTGCATCTGAGCACTGCATACCTTCATCCCTAGAGGCTAATAGCGGATCCTTTCTATCTACAGACTGCCCTCTTGTGGCTGCATCAGAGCATTTCATACATGCATTTCTAGAGGCCAGGAGCTAATCCTTTTTATCTATAGACTGCCCTCTTATGACTACATCTGAGCCCTGCATACATTCATCCCTAGAGGCTAATAGCTAATTCTTTCTATCTACACACTGCCCTCTTGTGGCTGCATTGGAGCATTTCATACATGCATTTCTAGAGGCCAGGAGCTAATCCTTTCTATCTACACACTGCCCTCTCGTGGCTGCATCTGAGCACTGCATACATTAATCCCTAGGGGCTAATAGCTGATCCTTTCTATCTATACATTGCCCTCTTGTGGCTGCATCCGAGCATTGAATACATATATTTCCAGAGGTCAGGAGCTAATCCTTTCTATCTGTAGACTGCCTTCTTGTGGCTGCATCTAAGCACTGCATACATTCATCCCTAGAGGCTAGTAGCTGATCCTTTCTATCTACACACTGCCCTCTTGTGGCTGCATCTGAGCACTGCATACATTCATCCATAGAGGCTAGTAGCTGATCCTTTCTATCTACACACTGCCCTCTTGTGGCTGCATCAGAGCATTGCATACATGCATTTCTAGAGGCCAGGAGCTAATCCTTTCTATCTATGGACTGCCTTCTTGTGGGGAGTAATAATAATAATAATAATAATAATAGTAATTAATAATAATAATAATAATAATAATAATAATAATAATAATAAATAGTAATAATAATAGCTCAGTGATACAAAAACCTCCTGGGATTTTTTTTTTTAATCAGGAGTTCTTTCCATCCCAAATAAGACGAAATCGGATCAGTTGAGGCTCGGAAGGATCTGGAGTTCCGGACGAGAGTTGGGCCTCCCTCCACTTCTCATCCAGCTTCTCGATCCTGTCGATCCGGAACATAATGGCATCGTCTTCTAGGCCTTCTCAAGAAGCTTTTCTGCTAACACACTTTTGAGTTAATTTTTCCCGCTGCTAAAAGTTTTGGAATTTAATGCCTTCAGATCAGTTTAGGCTCGGAAGAATCCGGAGTTCCGGTCGAGAGTTGGGTCTCCCTCTGCTTCTCGATCTGGTTGATCCGGAGCATAATGGCTCCATCTTCAAGGCCTTTTCTACTAACCTACACTCTTGAGTTCATTTTCTCATTGCTAACGTTCTGTAAGCGATGCCTTCACATCAGTTTAGGCTCTGAAGGATCTGGAATTCCGGCCGGGAGTTGGGTTTCCCTTCCACTTCCCAGTTGATCTGGAGCATAGTGGCACCATCTTCAAGACCTTCTCCAGAGGTCTTTCTCCTGAGTTTTTTCCCCCCAATTGCTAAAGTTCTGCTATTGATGCTTCCAGATCAGTTTAGGTTCAGAAGAATCTGGAGTTCCAGCCAAGAGTTGGGCCTCCCTCCGCTTCTCATCTGGCTTCTCCATTCGGAGCATCATGGCGCCACCTTCAAGGCCTTCTCCGGAGGCCTTCAATTGCCCTTTTCCCGGAAGTAGTCGGCCAGCTTCTCCACCGCTTCCACGCAGACGCTGGGGTACATGCCTTGGGAGTAGGTCCCCACCAACACCAACGACTTGGTCTTAACCAAGACGAGGCCGTTGTCTTTCCCTTTCAGATAGATTGCGTTGTCGTCCGCCCGCGCGCACTTGTAGTACTGGTCCTTGAAGTAAAGCCCTTCCCGTCGGATCTGGAGCAGGTCTTGGAAGAAGGCCTGGACGAACACCGAGGCCTGGCTCTGGATGCCGAAGCCCGGCGTGGTCGCCAAGATGCTCCCGTCTTCTATCTTGATGATGGCGGCGTGGGCCACATGTTTGGTGCTGGTCAAGCCCTCGATCAGCAGGCTCTGGGCCTGGTTCATCCTCTCTCCTTGGCCTCTTTCCTTCCTTCACTGCCGTAAAATGGAAGCCGTTGAACTGCCACGGCTCACCCCGAGGCATTCTGGGAGCTGCACTTAGCAACGGAGCTTTTCACCCGCGACAACGACAACACAACAGATGGAAAACAAACAAACAGTGAAGGAGAGGTTGGCTTGCAAAGAAAGAGAGAAGCAAGGAGGGAGTTCTCGGAACTCATTATAGTAACTCTTTCCTGTTCTCTTTTGCTCCGCATGAAAATACACGACTGCAGATCAGATGTGATTGCTAAGGACATCTAACAGAGCAATACAACAACAACACTTGATTACAGTCCAAAGACCCATTTTGCTCAGCGGCAAGCAAAGCGAATATGGACCCCTAATGGAGTAACTGAATTTTTCAAAATAACAATAATATTTAATGTAAGCCGCTTATAACGCTATGCTCAACCTGTGGCAGGTCTTGACCATAGAGTCATGTGGGAAAATCTGGAGATCCCCGTGGTCTAGCAGCAGGACACAGCCATACAGCCTCCTGGTCAGTTGCAAGGCCGAACAGGGTGTAGGGTCACAACCTGGATTGGGTTACACACCCCTTGAAGGCACAGGTTTGCAGCTTGGGAGTTCTCCTGGATTCATCACTGAGCCTGGAATCCCAGGTTGCAGCGGTGGCCAGAGGAGTGTTCGCACAATTAAAACTTGTGCGCCAGCTGTGCCCGTACCTTTGGAAGTCAGACTTGGCCACAGTGGTCCATGCTCTCGTTACATCTAGGATAGACTACTGCAATGCACTCTACTTGGGGTTGCCTTTGAAGACTGCTCGAAAGCTTCAAATAGTCCAACGAGAGGCAGCCAGGTTAATAACTGGGGCGGCATACAGGGAGCATACAACTCCCATGTTACGCCATCTTCACTGCTCCCAGTTTGCTACTGGGCACAATTCAAAGTTCTGACTTTGGCCTATAAAGCCCTAAACGGCCCCGACCCAAATTACCCGTCCGAACGCATCTCCCCCTATGTACCATCGCGGAGATTAAGATCCTCCAGGGAGGCCCTGCTTTCCGTCCCACCATTGGTGGGGACGAGAGACAAGGCCTTCTCGGTGATTGCTCCCCAGCTATGGAACTCACTTCCTGGTGAGATCACGTTGGCCCCCTCCCTCCTGCCCTTTAGAAGGATGATCAAAACTTGGCTGTGGGACCAAGCTTTCGGGACAGGGCAATAAAGAGGCAATAGAAAGATGACCAGGCCAATTAGATTTGACGTGGATGACTAGGACGGTTTTAAATGGTGTATTGTAATATTTTGATAAATGTTTTTCAATGTTTATGTATTTGCATGTTAATTTGTGTCCCAGCATTGAATGTTTGCCACGTCTATGCTGTGCTCCGCCCTGAGTCCCCTTTGGGGTGAGAGGGGCAGAATATAAATGTTTTAAATAAATGAATGAATAAATAAATAAATAAAATACAGCCTGGAAACCACACAACACAGTGATTCTGGCCATGAAAGCCTTCGACAATACATTGTTCTCTCTATGGTTCTCCAGCACGGCTTTTGTAAAGTTATGTGGATGGATTACAGTCAGCTTCCACAAAAGCCGTGCTGGAGAACCTTATAGAGAACGATGTATTGTTGAAGGCTTTCACGGCCAGAATCACTGGAGTGTTGTGTGGTTTCCAGGCTGTATGGCTGTGTCCTGCTAGCCTGGAAACCACACAACACTCTTAGAGAAGGATATGGTAAACAAACTAGTCAAATGTGGGCTAGGCAAAACTAGGGTTAGGTGGATCTGTAATTGGTTAAATGAACGAACCCAGAGGGTGACTCTCCCCAATGCTTCCTCTTCATCCTGAAAAGAAGTGAGGAGTGGAGTGCTACAGGGTTCCTTCCTGGGCTCGTTCCTGTTCAGGATCTTCAGTAATGACTTAGATGAAGGGTGAGAAGGCAGGATCATCAACTTTGCAGACGGGACCAAATGGGGAGGGAGAGCCAATACTCCAGAAGACAGGAGCAGAATTCAAAACAATCTTAAGAGATTTGAGAGATGGGCCAAAACTAACACAACGACAAACTAACACAGTGGTTCTCAACCTTCCTAATGCCACAACCCCTTAATACAGTTCCTCATGTTGTGGTCACTCCTAACCATGAAATTATTTTTGTTGTTACTTCATGACTATAATTCTGCTATTGTTATGAATTGTAATGTCAGTATCTGATATGCAGGATGTATTCTCATTCACTGGACCAAATTTAGCACAAATACACACACATTTGAATACTGGTGGAGTTGGAGGGTTAATTTTGTCATTTGGGAGTTGTAGTTGCTGGGATTTAGAGGTAACCTACAATCAAAGAGCATTTTGAACTCCACCAACAATGGACTTGAACCAAACTTGGCACACAGAACTCCCATATTGGAAAGGTTTGGTGGGCATTGACCATGAGTTTTGGAGTTGTAGTTCACCTACATTCAGAGAGCACTGTAGACTCAAACAATGATGGATCTGGACCAAACTTGGCATGAATACTCAACATGCCCAAATGTGAACATCGGTGTAGTTTGTGGATACAGACCTTGACATTTGTGAGTTGTAGTTGTTGGGATTTATAGTTCACTTACAATCAAAGAGCATTCTGAACCCCACCAACAACAGAATTGGGCCAAACTTCCCACACTTCCCATGACCATGTGTTTTCTGAGGGTCTTTGGTGACCTCTCTGATACCCCCTCGCGACCCCCACAGGGGTCCCGACCCCCAGGTTAAGAAATGCTGAACTATCACAACAGGGATAAATGCAAGAGACAGAAAAGACAGAAAAAAATGAAATGCAAAGAGACAGAATGGGGAACGTGTTGCTCGAGAGCAGGATGTGTGAAAAACACCTTGGAGTCCTCGTGGCAAACAAGTTAAACAGGAGCCAACAATGTGATGCAGTGGCAAAAAAAAGCCAATGGGATTTTGGCCTGCATCAAGAGGAACCTAGTTCCTAGATCTAGGGAAGTCATGCTCCCCATGCTCTATTTTGCCTTGGTTAGACCACACCTGGAATATTGTGTCCAATTCTGGGCATCACAATTGAAGAGAGATGTGGACTCTAAGCTGTGTCCAAAGGAAGAAGGAAACTCAAAGGATCAAAGGTCTGGAGAACAAACTCTATGAGGACAGAGTGGCTTCAAAAGCTGGGCATGTTGAGCCTGCAGAAAAAGAGGTGGGGAGGAAACAGGATGAAGGCCATGTTTAAATATGGGTCAAGGGGTGAGGGGAATAAGCCATAGAGAGGAGGGAGCAGACTTCCTTTCTGCTGCCCTGGAGACTAGGTTGCAATGAAGGAATGGCTTCAAACTACAGGAAATGAAGGAGATTCCACCTGAACATGAGGAAGAACTTCCTGACTATGAGAGAGAGCTGTTCAGCAGTGGAACTCTCTGCCCTGGAGTGTGGTGGAGGCTCCTTCTTTGGAGGCTTTGAAGCATCTGTTGGGGGTGCTTTGAATGCGATTGCCCTGCTTCGTAGCAGAATGGGGTTGGACTGGATGGTCCATGAGGTCTCTTCCAACTCTAGGAGTCTATGATTCTATGATCATTCTATGATATTACTGAAATCTGCGCAGAATCAGGCCTTAAGAAGTTAAGCTGAGCAATAGAGCCATCCGGTCACCATCATATCATTGCACCAGCACCGTTTGATGGGGAGCTGGTCTCAAAGGGAGCTTCTCAAAGTGAGCTCGACTTTCCTCTTCTTCTTCTGTTCTCTTTTCCTTTTTTGCTGAATCTCCACTTTTGCTTAAACTCTCTCCGTTGCACCCAAACGGGTAGAAGATGCGATTCTGCGCGATCCGTCCGTTGTTGGCTCTCTCTCCTGGCTTTAATAGGAACCATACGCACCGAAACCATTTTGCGAAGGGAAGATTATCTATGGTATTTGTCACTTTTCTCTCCCTCCTCCCCTCCGTACGGTTTGCGTGGGGATTTTTTTTTTTTTGCCTCTTCGTCGGGCCTCCTTCGTCTCCTTGGCAGAAAACCGCCGACTATAAAAACCATTCCCCAGAACAGCTGCGAGGAGAGAAATGTCATCTCCTCCCTGCTCCCCGAGCCACTAATCGCCCCTTTTGCTGACCCCAACGAGAGCAATTATGCATCCTGGTTATTGTAAACGGAACACAAAACACCAGGCATACCTTCCGACGATGTCATGTCTAGACGTATCACTCAGGTATAAATAATATCGAGAAAAACGTAGCTTGTGTGGTAGAAGAGATATATATATATATACTAGCCGTCCCCTACCATGCCTTGCTGTGGCCTAGTCTGTGTATATGTGTTTTGTGTGTGTATTTATTTGTGTATATGTGGTTTGTGTGTGTGTGTGTGTGTGTGTATGTATGTATGTTTGTGGTTTTGCGCATGCGTTGTAATATTTTCTTTTGTTTTTTTTTGGCTTTTTAAGTCTCTTCTGCTGTGTTTTTCAGTGTTTTCATGAGTGATGGTCACTCGTTGTCCTGATAGGTGTATTGTGTCCAAATGTGGTGTCAATTCGTTGGTTTTTGAGTTATGTTAATCCCATAAATGAACATTACATTTATACACACACACACACACACACACACACACACACATACACTAGCTGTACCCGTCATGCATTGCTGTAGCCAACCTTCCCTCCCGCTTTCTCTTCTTTCTCTCTCTCTCTCTCCCTTCCTTCCTTCCCTCCCTCTTTCCTTTCCTTCCCTTCCCCTTTCCCTTTCCCTTCCTTCCCTCCCTCCTTCCCTTCCCTTCCCTTCCCTTCCCCTTCCCCTTCCCCTTCCCCTTCCCCTTCCCCTTCCCCTTCCCCTTCCCCTTCCCCTTCCCTTCCCCTTCCCCTTCCCCTTCCCCTTCCCCTTCCCTTCCCTTCCCCTTCCCCTTCCCCTCCCCTTCCCCCTTCCCCTTCCCCTTCCCTTCCCCTTCCCCTTCCCCTTCCCTTCCCCTTCCCTTCCCCTTCCCCTTCCTTCCTTCCTTCCTTCTTCCTTCTCTCTTCTTCCTTTTCTTCTTCCCTTCCTCCCCCTCCCTTTCTTTCCCTTCCTCTTTCTGTCCTTCCTT